AAAAAAGATTATAAAATATGCTAATATTTGATTTTTTTTTTCTTAAATATGTAATTTAAAGTTTTTCAAATAATAATTTATTTTTTTTTAAAAGTCAGCGAGTAATAAACTGGAAATTTTAATATTGTACGATTAAAAACTGTGCAATAGCTAATATTTTTTACAAGCGATTTTATATAATATTTATTTATTTTTATTTATTTTCATAAAGCGGTTGATAAGCACAATCACTCGTATTAATAAAAAACTTAAACGAACGTTTTGAATAGATTTTTAATGTTAACAAGGAATTTTATTTCTAGTAAAAAAAAATATGTTAGAATAAAAATTTTTTAGGAATAAAAAAAATATTTCAGCGAAAAAATTATTCTTAAAAATTATTCGAAAAACTATTGACGTTCTATTTTTCAGCAGCTGTTCTTGCGCACGCTTCGTTGAGTTTCGGTAACTTTTAACATAAAAGCGATCGTTATTATTTAAGTAATTTTTTTGAGTTACTTTTTACAAAAATTTTAATAACTGTACTTTTTTATTGAATCAAGTAGAATACGTTTTAATATTAATCCTTTTTTATTTTTTTATTTGCCCTCACCAATTTTTAAAATGTTTCCTCGAAATTACTCTTAAATACTTTAAATACGTCTAACAGTTAATAAATATTTTTAAATCTATGGAATAATTTTAAATCCTAACAAACCCCCGTAAAATAATTATTTAAGTTTAAAATCTAAAACTAAAAGAAAGTATTTTTGTTCAATTTTAATTAAATGTTAGATAATTTTAATTAAATGTTAGCTTAAAAGATTTAAACTTTTTTTTTAATTTTTGATTTTTTTCTACTTGTAAATAATGAGCATATTTAATTTTTTCAACTGCGTGCGGTTTTAAAATACTTTATTAAATGTTAAAATATTCGTAAATTACTTCATTAAAATTCCGCTCAAAAATATCTTTAAATATACTCAAACAAAAAATTTTTTGCTCTACGCAAATAGCCCTAGCTACACGCAAAATCGCTCTTGGACGACGTAAAATTCACATCGCCCGACGCTTTATTGCAAGGCCTGTAATTTAAAGTTTTTCAAATAATTATTTTTTCTTTTTAAAAAGTCAGCGAGTAATAAACTGGAAATTTTAATATGGCACGATTAAAAACTGTGCAATAGCTAATATTTTTACTAGCGATTTTATATAATATTTATTTATTTTTATTTATTTTCATAAAGCGGTTGACAAGCACAATCACTCGTATTAATAAAAAACTTAAACGAACGTTTTGAATAGATTTTTAATGTTAACAAGGAATTTTATTTTTAGTAAAATAAATTAAAATGTTAGAATAAAAATCTTATAGGTATAAAAGAAATATTTCAGCAAAAAAATTATTCTTTAAAATTATTATTAAAAATTATTCGAAAAACTATTGATGTTTTATTTTTCAGCAGCTGTTCTTGAGCACGCTTCGTTGAGTTTCGGTAACTTTTAAAATAAAAGCGATCGTTATTATTCAAGTAATTTTTTTGAGTTACTTTTTACAAAAATTTTAATAACTGTACTATTTTATTGAATCAAGTAGAATAGGTTTAAATATTATTCCCTTTTTTTTTTTATTTGCGCTCACCAATTTTTAAAATGTTTCCTCGAAATTACTCTTAAATACTTTAAATACGTCTAACAGTTAATAAATATTTTTAAATCTATGGAATAATTTTAAAACCTAACAAACCACTGTAAAATAATTATTTAAGTTTAAAATCTAAAACTAAAAGAAAGTATTTTTGTTCAATTTTATCGACAACTTTGCTATTGCTGAATAATTTTATTAAAATGTTAGCTTAAAAGATTTAAACTTTTTTTTTAATCTGAATTTTTTCTACTTGTAAATAATGAGCATATTTAATTTTTTTAATTCAAACTTTTATTTCAACTGCGTGCGGTTTTTAAAATACTTTCTTAAATGTTAAAATAATCGTAAATTACTTCATTAAAATTCCGCTCAAAAATATCTTTAAATATACTCAAACAAAAAAAATTTTGCTCGACGCAAATAGCCCTAGCTACACGCAAAATCGCTCTTGGACGACGTAAAATTCACATCGCCCGACGCTTTATTGCAAGGCCTGATATATATATATATATATATATATATATATATATATATATATATATATATATATATATATATATATATATATATACACACACATATATGCTTGTGTGTATGTGTGGGTGTATGGACAAAATATGAACCTGCATTCAATCTTTCTTTTCTTAAGACAGATTCCTTTGATTTTTGGTCTTCTTTACTCTTTTCATTTTCAAGGACATATCTTGCTAACACATTTAACCAATTTGAAATATGTACTGAATCATTTGCAATACTTTGAAGCAATTCCTTTGATAAATCAAACTTGTTTGAAAGAACTTTTATTGTATCATCCATTGTTAGATAATAATTTTGAGCTATAGGAAAAGAACAAATAATAACCAATAACTTAAATAATTAATATCAAAAGAATTTTATTTTTTGCAGACAATATATATTATATAACTAATAATATTATACAACTAAAGTATTTATTAAAATAATAATTAGAAGACATTAAATAATATATATATATTTTTTTTAACATCTTCACTTTTAACAAGGCTGCAAGCAATCACTAATTAGTGTTGGAAGTTACTGGAAGAGAAAAGATGAAGATTGTAGAGCAAGAAAACGATTGACAGACGACTTAAAAGATTGCAAATTATACGAATCAGGGAAGCGAATTTCAAAGAAATGATGTTGGAGGAAAAAAACTAGACGAATAAGAATTTTTGGAGCACTTTGGAACAGTAACATAAAAAGGATAAGAATAAGATAACATAAAAAGGATAAGAACAGTAACATAAAAAAGATAAGTGAATGACGAGTAACACGGAATGAATTTTAGTAGATAGCACAATAGACGCTAGCTCTTTAGCAGTGCCCATTATAGTATTTGTAGAAAAGAGAAAGAGAAGCAACATAACGAAGATGTGACAAAGGTTGAAGGTTGCCTGCAAGAGCAGGTCTAACTATATTTACAATGCGTTTTTGCACCTTGTCTAAAAGAGAAAGGGCATCATTAGAAGATCCACCCTAGATATGGCAACAGTATTCCATACAAGGCTGGATTTGAGATTTATAGAGATAGAGAATAGAATCTAGAGTAAGAAAGTGTTGAGCTCGATAAAGAGATGCTAATTTTGCAACTTTAGCAGATGCTAATTTTGCAATGGATTTGATATAAGGTTTCCAAGAAAAATCAGAAGTAAGAGTTAATCCTAGAAGATGAAGGGTAGATGACTCATTGAGTACATTACCCTTCATAAATATAGAAAGGTCTAAATTATTGTGATAATGATTTGCTGAAAAAAATTGAGTTTTATCTGAATTGAAGTTCACCAGTTACTGTAAGCCCCATCAGAGGGAGTTGGCTTCATATCTTGACAAGAATAAATGTTAATATCATCAACGAACATAACGTTAATATAAATTAAAAAGAATATAGGGCCAAGGATTGAACCTTAAGGAACCCCTGAGAATACAGAATAAGAAGAAAAGTGCTGTTCATCAAAGATAACTTTTATGCTACGATTGGAAAGGAATTTAAAAAAAAGTATTGTCATACTAAAGCTTTTGATCAAATTCAAGGTTATTTTATATAAAAAATGAAATATCATTGATATATATATATATATATATATATATATATATATATATATATATATATATATATATATATATATATATATATATATATATATATATATATATATATGTATATATATATATATATATATATATATATATATATATATATGTATATATATATATATATATATATATATATATATATATATATATATATATATATATATATATATATATATATATATATATATATATATATATATATATATATATATATATATATATATATATATACATATATATATATATATATATATATATATATATATATATATATATATATATATATATATATACAGCATGGAAATAAGCATATATACAGCATGGAAAATAAGGAATTGAATACAAACAGTTAATTTGACCCACTAACATACTGAATCGACGATCAATTGTTTTTCTTGGACGCTAAAATTTGTTTTCTTTGTTGCACTTTTTATCTAGGTAATAATTCTTTATTACTGAACTTTATAAATACAAAAACAACTTAATGCATGAAAATTAATGAATTCGTATTCCTTTTAAAACAATAATTTTAATAAAACCAAGTAACTTAATGTTGAATGATTAATTTATGATAAATTTAAATATAATAAGTTGTTTGAAACTATTTTTCCAAGTCTTTCTAAATATCTTTTAAAATATAACTTTTTAAGTTACTTTAAATTATGAAAATGTTGAATTAAATCTTCCATTGCAATGTAATGTTTTTATTGCTTTATTTTTTTGTTTTAATTTTTACAGAGAATTGTTTCGACTTTTTTTTTTAAACTTAACTAACTTATCAGAGCATGAAATGATTAAAAATTACTATTTTCAATAGACTACGATATTTTTTTAAACAATTTTTTTTTTTTACAACTTTTTGAAAAGAATAAATGCTTATACAATTTAAAAATAATATATAACACTACTCAAATAAAATTTGTTCATTCATTAAACAATCATTAGAAGTAATTTATAAAAGAGTTGTGTGCAAACTTTATTAAAACGTTTCAAAAGATAAATTTTTAAGTAGTTTATTTTAAACGCAATTAAAAACGTAACAAAAAGTCATTTTCTTTTCGAGTTTGAGTTTTATTTTAGTGCTTCTATATTTTCTTTTTTGTGAGGAATTTTTTTCTTTTTTCAATATTTTTTTTTTAATTTTTTTCCTAGTTTAAGTTTAGCTAGCGTTTCTGTTTTCAGCACATTTAGTGCTCATAAATTTTTGTTTTTGTGAGAAATTGTTTTCTTTTTTTTCTCTCTCTATTTTTTCTTCTAGTTTAACTAGCATTTCTTTTTTTAGCGCATTTCTAAAATGTTTAAAAATCATTTAAACAGTTGTGTATTAAGAAAAGTACAGTGGCATTGAAAACCATTTTGAACATACTTTCTGTGTCAAAGTGACCTAACCCACACTAATTTTTATTTCAGTATTCTATGCTCAAATTTGACGTTAACTATTTTTAATGACTTGATAAAGTTTAAAATGCGATATTTGTAAACCATTTCATGCTTTGTTAAAACATACATTTTTTAACATTTTTTCCGTTTTTTGTTTTTTTGTTTTCAATTATTTAAAATTTTTTTTCTAAAGATTATCATTTATCATAAAAAAATCCTAATTATATAATATTCATTAATACTTTATATAAAAAATCATTAGCAGTGATTTTAAAAGCATTTCAATAATAAAAAACATAAGTAAAGATCAAAGTTATTCAATTGTAACAACTTTAAAAAACATTTATTATTTTTTATCAACAAAATTTGTCATCTCACGCTACTATATGTTGATTGATTTGGACTGTATTTATGATACACACACCTACTCCGTTAAAACCAAGATATAAAATTAAAATAAGCACAAATTCCAACATACCTGTGGCTGCCTTGAGGCTTTGGTACAAAAAGCAACTGCTATACTTTTAAATATGTTAACAAGACTTATTCTATTTAAATATACATTTCTATTTAAATAAACAAGACTTATTCTATTAGGCTTTTTTTTTTTCAGCATGTGTTTTCTAGCAGATGCATCAACACCAATATTTTTTTAAGTATCTTTCTTACTGTATTTGATGTTTTTTTGTTTAGTTCAATGTGTTAGTAAGTTTAAGATAACTAAACCTTAGATTGACTTTAATTGATGAAATTGTAATATTTTATTTTGTGTGTGCATTTTAACTATTATATCTTAATAAGCTATTTAAAAAGGATTAAGATGTGAAGATTTTGATCATTAAAAGCAATTTAATGCAACGTTTTATAAGAACTTGCCAGACAAATTTATAAATTATAAAATAATTATGATTGTTTGGGTTGAGAAATCTCTAAAGTTTGTTTGCCAATTTTTTAAGGCATCTGGTATATTTTTTTGTATTCCTTTGATACAACTAAACTATAAAAAAGTAACATAAAGCAAACTTTTTATTGACATGTAAGTTAAAAAAAATCATTTTCCTGTCCAGCAAAAAAAATTAAGTCTTTTGCAAACATGATTACTTTTTTATACTAAAAAAAAAACTCAAGGTTATAAAATCAGCATTAATTTAGATTAAAAACCAACTTAATTAAACATAAGACATTTTTTTAAATCTAACACATAATGATATTGTAAAATTATACTATCAATATAACATCAAAATAGTTAATATCAAATTATTTTTTTAAGTTTAATTTTTTGTTAATGCCTAATTTTAGCTTAATTATTTTTAGCCTAATCTTTTAGTATATTCTTTTAAAAACAATGATAACCAAGTAGCACAAGATTCTAAGCATAGAGCAAGATTTTTATTACTAGTATTACTGCAAATAGTACCTATATTACCTTACTAGTACCAAGTATTACTTGCATTAATAGCGATAAAACTTATATATATACATACATACGTCCATACGTCCATACATACATACATACATACATACATACATACATACATACATACATACATACATACATACATACATACATACATACATACATACATACATACATACATACATACATACATACATACATACAAACATACATACATACATACATACATACATACATACATACATACATACATACATACATACATACATACATACATACATACATACATACATACATACATACATACATACATACATACATACATACATACACACATACATACCCTTGCATTTGCCCCCTTCATGACTAAATGACTAAAAAAAAAAGACTAATGACTAAAAAAAAAAGGTCCTTAAAACTATATACATATGTATAAATATATATATATATATATATATATATATATATATAATATATATATATATATATATATATATATATATATATATATATATATATATATATATATGTATATATATATATATATATATATATATATATATATATATATATATATATTTATATATATATATATATATATATATATATATATATATATATATATATATTATATATATATATATATATATATATATTATAACAAATATCACTAATTTTATTACTAAAATCAATCAATCAATATATTTTCACTTTAATAACTACATATATATACAATAGTGAGGAACAATTACAGACAGTTAAAAATTGATGAGGCGTAAGGACCTAGTCGTTACGCCTCATGTTAGTCTTAAAAATAACAGAAAAATTTATAATTATATCTTTTTAAAATCCAATACAATAATCAATAGAATAATTTTATGTAAAATCCTGAACATTACATTTTTTAAGGACGTTTACCCCTCAAAAATATAAAAAGAAAATTGATCATTGACAAGACATGTTCTTTAAAATAAAAAACATGCATATTGAGCGCCTATGAGGTCCACTAAAAATTTTCTTAAAAATTGATGATTCAGCATAATCCATTGCCGCGAACTTTTTTGATTTAAATTTTTCATTTTTTATTTTTAAGGTTTTTAGTCCTTTTTTTTTTTTTTTTTAAGGTAAAAAACACAAAAAAAGAATTAAAAATGCAAATTGTTACAAAGTTCGATTTTAAGTTTTTACATAAATAAATAATATTTATTATTGGAAAAAAATTAAGAAATATATTTTTTCTTTACATTTCCTAATCTTAAAACAGCAAAAATATGCCTTAAACATCAAACAGAGTTAGAGTTATCTCAGGGGCGGATACAGGTTGTAAAGATAGAGAGGGCACAAATGAATTTTTTATATGAATTTGGCTAATGGCCGTAAGTCATAACGCCAACGTATATATTCTATTATAGAACGAAAAGTAGCCTAAAATTAATCAAATTTTAGGGGGGGCACGAGCCGGCTGTGGCCCCCTCTAAATCCGCGCCTTTATCTGTACATTTGTTTTATATGAACTTTAGTATACATGCAGAATATATATAAAATATTCAATATTGAGTGTGTCAATAGGGTTACCATATTTTTTAAACACAAAAAAAGGACACATTTATTCTATAATGTTATACATACCACAGCGTTACATCCTAATTCCATTCCAAAAAAGCAAATATTATACGGATGATATATATATATATTTTTTTTTTTAACGAACGAATTTTATTAATTACATTTATTTTGGTTAATCGTTTTTGAGTCGAAGAAACAGCATTTTTTTATGAAAATCTCTTATTCAAACAATAAATGTGTAATTTTTAATAAAGTAATTAGAGTTGATATTATTTTTCGTAGAATAAACTTTGAAATAAATTCAATGATATATATTTTTGTTCAGTGAATTACAATGAGATACATTTTTATTCACTCTTGGAATAGACAAATTTAGTAGAGCTTTTCACTTTTTTCAAGAAAAGATTAGTTCTTAATCATGTTATTGTTTACATAAAAGATTATTATGATTGTATTGTACAGTTAACATAGAATTCACTGAGTTGATTGGTAAGTTGTCTCTTACGATTGCGGTTGCATCAATGATAAAATGCATTCTACATTAGCATTATGGGACATCAAACAAAAGCAAAACTAAGAATTTTCAATAATTCAGTAAAAAATTTTGTCGGCTTTCTTGTCTACAACTTTCAAAATACTTTAGCCTTCATTCATGAGCCAGCAATTGGTTACAATCAATTTTTTAAATTGATTTTCATCCACAACTAGCTCATTTTTTAGGATGTTCTGAAACTGATCAAACGATTTTTATTAGCAAGATATTCAGCACATGGTTCAACTTTATGGTAGCTTATGCCTCAAGTCTTAAAAAGTAGCATCCAATTAAAACTTTCAAACTCAGTAAAAAAATTCGTTCATTTATCAAACAGAACATGAATTTTACATTAACAAGACACATCACATTCTTGGTCTTTCCCATCTTCAGTTAGGTTTTGCACAGTAGCGTAGCGAAGGGCCCGCAGGGCCCGCAGCCGCGGGGAGGCCCAAAGTTATAAGGAGCCCAAGGCAACAAAGAAAAACATTTAAAAAAAGTGTCAGTACAATAAAACACATGCGTATCATTTAACATACATACAAAACATATATTTTACACAGGAAGGTAAAGGCAAGGTGAAGGGGGGGAGGGAATAGAAAAGAAGTAGTTTAGGGGCCCGGATTAAATTTTAGCGGGGGGGGGGCAATTTTTTGTCGCTACGCTATTGGTTTTGCAATATTAATTTAGTTTTCGATAATACAAATTTTTTCTTTTTCACTATCCTTAATAATTGTATTCAGACAATCTAGAATTTCAACTTTTATATTCCTCTACATTTTAATTTTTTATTCAAGTATAATCAATATAAAGTCTGTATGTAAAATTGTATCAAATTTTTACAATATTGAAAACAAAAATAAATTAAAAAGTTTATTTAATTACATGCATTTAATGAGTTATTATATTTTAAAATTCGAACTCAAAAACATCGATTAAATCAGGCTCGTAGCAAGCGAGGGTGGGGAGGAGAGGCGGGGGCATTTGCCCCCTTCATTAATTTTTCAAATAAAGAAGTTTAAAGAAATTGACTGAAAAAATGACTAAAAAAAAAGGTCCTTAAAACTATATCAGGGTAGTTTTTCTTGTTTCAATCACATTTTCAATTCGATTATAGTTTTAGAATATAAAAGATCAGCAAATACAGTTGAGTTTATTTTACTTCAAATAAAATAAAAAAAGTTGTATTTTTAAATTGAGCACACTTAAAGCGTAAAAAATGTGTGTATATATAACATCATATTTATCATTTAATACTTCATATTATATCGCAAATTTAATTTAATTAATTGCGTGGTATTGCTTAATTTTAAATGGTTAATATTGTTGGTGTTTCCTGTAGCATTCATCCATGTTTGATTCCATCAATAACAGCAATGTTCTTGGTACTACAAATTGCACTAAAAAAGAAAATGTGGCTAAAAAAGAATTTGGTAGCATATTATTTTTGAACATAAAAATAATAATCTGATATAAATTAAGTTTTCCAAGTTTAAGACTTTCATATTTGTCATCACATTAGAAGGATTGTTCATTCTACTTAGATAATGAATTGCTTTACAAGCATGGTTTTGCAAGCCTTGTAGTTTGATTAGTTTTGTTTTGTGTGTATTAGCCCACACTATATTAGCATATGTGAAATGACTATGAATTAGACTAAAGTAAAAATTTTTTCTTGAACAGAAATCCAGAAACGGGCGACATTTATATAAAATACCTCTTCCAGATGGTATTTTTTGATTCAATGTGATTTCTCCATGATAAATTTTTATCAATTTGAACACCAAGAAACTTTGCATGATTTTCACGCTTTATAGTTATGTTGTTAATGAGCAACTCTAATGAGCAATTTTTAACGGTAGAGACATTGATTGATCGTTTTATGAAAAAAGATTTTTAGTAGTTAGTTTTTTTACAGTTTTTAATAGTTCTAAACCAAAAATTAAAGTTTTTCAGTTCAGTATTCATTGTTCAGAACATTTTAAATTATAAAATAAACTTGTGTCATCACCATACATCATTGAAGATACTTAAAAGATCGTGTTAGAAATAAAAATATTCTTATAAAAATTTTATTTGTAAAATAAACAATCTAATAAAGTATCAAAGTGCTGGCATAATGTTTTATTTAATTTTGTATAATTTTGCAATGAGTTTTGAAAAAAAAATCTTCAACCATATTCTAAGCATTTTAAGTTTCTTGTTCTTTAAATTGTAAGTTTAAATAGTAACTTTAAATAGTTACTCGATGTTACTGGTAAATTTTTTCAATAAAATACTTTCATTATTTACGTTTTATAAAAAACTATTAGTCAAAAAATATTTTTACCATATAGATTATTTACTAAAGTAATTCAAGTTATTATTTTTTATGTTGTTCCAAGGAATGATAATAATAATTAAATTTTATGAGTAGAGAGGATCGGGGCCAGTTGCCTCGATCATAAAAAATTAAAAAAAAATATTTTCACAATATCCTTACAGTTAAATAAAACACTAATCAAAAAAAAAAATTTTTTGGAGTAAATACTGTGAGTTTTAACATTATAACTCATTAACATTAATTTTATCCTGAATAATGATAACTATTGAAAAATAAACTGACTGGATATAATACATCAATTTTGACTGGAATCTTTACAATATTTTTTTTCAACAAATTACTTTTTTTTTTGAAAGGAAAAAGTGGAAGCGATGTTCCAAAAGTGACAATTTTCTTCAAAAAACACCAAAATCTCGATATCTTTTATGTGCATGAGTAATTTATAATAACACTTATGCTAAAGATAAAATGGTCAATTGAAAAGATTTCTTTGATTTCTGGCACTATTGAGGAAAAACTCTTAAGATAAACTTAATTTATTAACCTATTCCCTCTCCCCCCCCCCCCCCCTTATATTGAGATAGCAAATTTTATTAGGTTATAATTTTTGAAAAATAAACTGGGTTACTATAATAAGAGTGGGTTACTTGGTTAAAATTATCCTAATAACACCCATTTAATATTTATATAATACCATTAAATAATACCCATATTTTTATTAGAAAGGATTTTCTGAGAAAACCATTATCATAAATTTTTTTTACTAATAAAACAATTTCAAGATTCAACAAAGTATTTGAATTCGCTATTTTTGAACTATTATCCCTTTTTCATTGTTTTTTTATATGGTCACACTATTAATAGGTTTCCTAAAAAATAAAATAATTTATGAAAAATAGAAAAAAAAGTATAAAAAACTTTTGAAAAGAATTTTTGATAAAAAAGTAATATGCCAAATAAGATTTTTTTTTTTAGTTTTTGAAAAATTTTCACTGTTTTTTTTTTTAACTTAGTTTTTTTAATGAGTTGAAATTTTTGTTTGTAACAAATACTTCATATAGTTTCATATTGGAAATAGTTTTCTAATTTTAACTTTAATAATAAGTTGAACTTTTTATTTGTAGCAAATACTTCAATTATTGGAAGTAAATATAATAAAATTCATTCTGACTGTATTTCTTAAACCCAAAACAGAAAAGAAAAAACTAACGAGTTTATTTTACATCAAAGAAAATCAAAAATTGAGCCAACTAAAAATAGTAAAAAGCAGAAGAAAAAAAAATACTACGTTTGTAAAATTATAATACACTCTTATTGTAAAAATTATAAATAAATTAGTTGAAAATATTTCAAGATTACTATACTTTAAGGTATTTGAATATAATAAATAACTAATAACTATAATAGTTAGTTAGTTAATTATAACAAGCTGCAATGCGAACTTATCGGCTCACACGAAGTAAACCATCCGAGGATAAGCTACTGTAGTAACTTTGCTGGAGGTTGTTCAGCCGATTTTTGAATGCGTTGACTGTTTCTG